CAAAAAGGAGAGAACATCAAAGCAAAAATGAGTTGTCCAAGTGTGCACCGAGGTGACAAGAATGGATAATAGTCAACACCAGCAGGTTGCTGGAAAAAAACAGCAAACAATGGATAATAGCCAATCTCAAACTAGAGGGGGCGGGGATGTGAAAAACAATGCATGCTAGTAAATGGCATACAACTAGAGGAGTCACATGACAAATCACCAATAGTGATCAAGATTTTACATGCTTTGGGCTTGTGATTGTTGCTCTATGAAAACCTGAAGTAATTCTCTGTGCATTGCAGGGATGACTTACTTAATGCTTTTAATGTTCTGTGTCTGACTACCCTGTTAAAGATATAAACCTAAGGATTTGTTGTTGGGCAAAGCTGCGGATCTCAGTATTCAAAAGAGGGATTCAGTTTATTGTTAACAGTGCCAATCATATTTGACTTTAAAAATAAAGCAATTCTGTAGTGTTTTAAAAAATAGTTTGAACATCACATCAATGCCATAGAAATCAATTTAGTTTATTAGATGACAAGCTTTTTTGCTGCAATTTGGTTACTTGACAATCCTCTGCGTGAAGTAGGGCCTTGTGTTTGCTATCTTAATGTTGGCCTCTGGTAGCTTGAACATTGAATAATAATTAATTCTGGTGAATATTGTATCAACATGTGTAATTATGCTTAGTTTTTAGCCTCATTTCTCTGGTATCCAGCTGTGTCATCTTTGGTTTATTAGCTTGCTGATTAATTATTTAACTTCTATCCACTCATTGAATTTTAATTATTGTTGCAGGCAATAGACCATATTATTAATTCTGCCGCAAAATCCAATTACATGTCTGCTGGGCAAATATCTGTACCTATTGTTTTTAGAGGACCCAATGGTGCTGCCGCTGGGGTTGGTGCCCAGCATTCTCAAGTATGGTTCTACAAGCTGCTTTCTTTTATGTACAAACTTTATTTCACTATTTCGTTAAATTCTGCCTTGAATGTACTCTGCTTTAGAGCTGTGGAGAACTGATAAATACTTTAGATTTCATCTATGTATCTACAACTTTGCTTTCATGCAGTGTTATGCATCTTGGTATGCTTCATGCCCTGGGTTGAAAGTCCTGTCACCGTATTCATCTGAAGATGCACGTGGTTTGCTTAAAGCTGCTATAAGGGACCCCGATCCTGTTGTTTTTCTTGAAAATGAGTTGCTGTAAGTTTTGCTGCTTGATTCTCTCAACCCCACACAACCCCCTACCCGCAAAATAAGTTGCCATAGTTTTAACACCAGTTATTATTATTATTATTATTATTATTCCGAAGAATATTTAATTTGTACACTATGTCCCCTAGATATGGTGAGTCATTCCCTGTTTCGGCTGAAGCTCTTGATTCCAGTTTTTGCCTTCCCATAGGAAAAGCAAAGGTAGTTAATTATCTGTAGTGTACGAATCCTTGTTTCTAGAGCCATATTTAGTTATTTACTACACAATAATGCATTCTTACTGAATCCATGTTTGCTTCACGCATTTTATCACTATCAGATTGAGAGGGAAGGAAAAGATGTAACTATTACAGCTTATTCAAAAATGGTTGGCTATGCTCTCAAGGTTTGTTTACCGTGAGATCCTTTTGTGGTGTAGATATGAATATTTTGCTGTTCTAAAAAGTTTAAAATCTCTAACCCCTTCTGTACTACCAAAGTAGACAACATTCTTAAATATCTCTTCTTGGTGTTTTAGGCAGCTGAGACACTGGCTAAAGAAGGAATCAGCGCTGAGGTAAGATTTGCCAGAGTTAGTAATGAACTTTCCCTTCTTTCTGTAAAACTTCATTTGGGTGATGATAATGGTTAATGACCTTTATCCACATAGGTTATTAATTTGCGTTCAATCCGACCACTGGATCGATCAACGATCAATACTTCTGTCAGGAAAACCAACAGGCTAGTGACAGTTGAAGAAGGGTTTCCTCAGCATGGTGTTGGGGCTGAAATCTGGTTTGTCTCTTTGCATTGACTTTCTCTGTATCTTTCTGGTCAACTCTTGCCAATCATGTGAGTGTATACTTCTCTTGAGCAGCACATCTGTCATTGAGGAGAGTTTTGGTTATCTTGACGCACCGGTTGAGAGAATTGCTGGGGCTGATGTTCCTATGCCATACGCAGCAAACCTGGAGAGACTGGCTGTTCCGCAGGTAATGATTGTGGAATATTATTTGTTTCTTCTGAATGTGTCAACTTGTTTTGGAAGATCTGTATTCTTTATTTTGATCCAGAAATGTATTTTTATTTTGAATGGGTGTAGTGATAGCCTGGACATGATGGTCTTGTGTGACACGAGTATTGATGCTAATTTGTTCAAGGTTTTGGTACAAGTGTATAGAGAATTTAAATCTGATTTGTTTTCTGGTTTATGTGGATGGACAGATTGAAGATATTGTTCGAGCTGCGAAGAGAGCATGCCACAGATCGGTGCCTTTGGCTGCAGCTGCTTGAAAGTTCTGGAAAACTTTCATGTCCTGATTAGTTCTTTGGTAATCCTTGATGTACCAAAAACAATTTTCCCCCAAATTTCCACCATAAAACAGCAGGAAGAAATTACAACCAAAGAATGCTGGTTTTAACTTGCGGGTTATGCTGGGCTTTGGTTAAAAAGTTCTGTTGTATATTCCTAATTTTCAGGACTCACAGATGCCATACATTTTTTCCCCATTCTCAGCCAGCATATATATGGGAGGAAGTGAAGTTTAATAACTTGGAAAACAATAACACAGGGCGGGAAGTCTTCTGTGTTTTGGTTTCTGATTGGCAATAACTAAGTAGTCAATTTTTTGAATACATTATCGAGTTTCTTTCCAGTGGACCAGTTCTATGCAAAAGATCTAGCTCTTATTTAATTCAATTCCATTTACTGCTTTAGTTACTTGGCAGGCTAGAGATATTTGATTTGACATGAGGTCCGTATCCTTGGGGAGAACAAGGTTATGGGTACTTGGTGTTGTGAATGGTGCTTGGTCTTAGTCACCGTGAACCCCCTAAAACTACTTATATAACTATCGATTTTCTCTGCCGTTCTTTCGGTTAGCAATACCCACGAAATCATATTGGCTGCTGTTAACGTCAGTCGAAGAAATTTCTCCATTTGCCATTTCCTCTTACTTTCTTTGCGAATGTTACCTTTTCCAGTTATCTTACCCATTGCGTAAACGATTTTAACTTATATCTATGGGAACTTTTCGCCGTGAATCATGTGTTGAGAAATCACTTGGACGTTGCTTTTTGATATAATTGTTTGTCAACTTCATTGAGTATCATGTCAATGTATTAACAATGGAAGATAATTTGGCAAATTTGATGTCGCAAACCTAATTATATGCTCTAAAATATGTCACTGACAATAGTAAATCATATTTGAGAGATCGTTTTGAAGGACAAAAGATGGGGTTAATTTTTTAAGTCGTACAAATATTATATAATTGGATAAATATTTAAAATGGAAGGAAAATATATTAACACTTTGTTTTTTTTTTTTTGTTTGTTCGAAGTTGTTATTTTCTGAATTTGAAAATGTAATGTTTTCTTCCCTTTTATTTTCATCCATAACTTTTCAGTTTTATTCTGTTTGCCGTTTTGACATGATAAAATGTTCTGTTCTTTTTTTTGCTTTACTAGAATATTAATGCTGTATCTGGGTATGAAATCGTTATTTCGAACACAAATTCTCCTTTTCTTAGCCCTTAACTGAAAAAAGTAGTTTCAAATATAAACGATCGGTTCCTTAAGACCTCAATTAACATTTGTTTTATTATATTTAATAATCTTAAATCATTTAAGAGTTTGTATGAGTGATAATTTAAATATATTTTTTCTTTTAACTTTTTTATGTATTTAAAGACATGACAACAAAAGAATTTTAAAATTGAAGGTGAAGAATACCTCAATTCACATATACTGATTGTATTGTGTGTACTTGGGTTCGGAACAAAAATTTAAGTGATCATATGTTCATAAAAAATCTTTCATAAATTCCAAAATATGTTTTCTTAGTTCTTTTTGCATGTTATTTGTTTCCAATGCTTTTTTATAACAAAATCTCACAGAAAGCACAAAATGTCCTGAACGTAAAACTGGGGAGTTATACATAAAATCTAAGCTTTAATTACTAGAAAATAGCCGAGAATTACATGCAAAATATGCTCTGAAATGTAAACCATTATGTTCGATGTATGAAGTTGACTTCACTTTCGCAAAGCAAGTTATGATATCAAATTCGATTACATTATTCTTGGAGTGGAGTTAAAATGTGATAAATAATTTAGTTTTGCAGACAAATTGTATTTTAGAAGCTTCGGTGTCACTTTTTATATCTTCTGTGTACGAAGTATTTTAATTTAAAAAAAGTGTCTTTGTTTTAGTTAGGGAGCATAATTTTTAAAAATAGTTTGGCAGTTATTTTAAAAGTCAAAGTCGAAAAGCTTACATTTTGGAGAACAACATTTTGTATTGATTATTGTCTGGAGAAAAAAAAAATCGAAAAAATTGTATGCATGGAAGGTGTGGCCTTGACTTTTAACAAATGAACGAAAGTATTTTGAGTGAATAGTTTTATAGTATAATTCAATGATTAGAAGGATGGAGTAATGAGAAGCAGATAATTGAGAGAGGGAGGAAGAAGTGATTATAGAAGTGTAGGGAGGAACAAAACATAGATCTGTGCAATGGGAGATATATTATCAAGGATGGAGTAATGACAAAAAGAGAATTGAGAGAGGGAGAAAGAAGTGATTATAGAAAATGTAAACACATATATTTCTATAATGGTTAGATATTGTTTATTTTCATTAAACAACATATTTTATCTATATATAAACTCATGTTTTTTTTTTTATATGCTAGAAAGAAGAAGGTTAAGAATAATTGGTTTATAGTGTAATATAATAGTAATGGTAAATAGAAATACAATATTATTAAAAATAAATAATAGTAGTAATTATAATAATAATATTAATAATAGAAATAATGAAAGGTTGGGGGTGGTGGAATTTGCGTGGGAGGAGTTGGTGGCGTAAGCAGAGGAAGCGGTTGAAGAAAGAAATGGTCTGATTGGGATGGGGAAGGGGATTTGACCACCTCCTCGTTGTCGTTGTTGGCGGCGATTTCCGTTTGCTATTCTTCACTCTAATCCCTCATTCGTTACGAACAAACAAAGCAAAAGTTATTAGAACAAACGATTGCAAGACATCGATGAAGAGCTCTCTGAAGAAATTGCGAGGTCTGGCGCTTCACAATCACAACCACAACCGCACTCGCAAGGATGACTCCTCCAACTTCATTCAGCCTCTGGGCCAGCTTGACGAGCTTGCTCGGGCCACCCAGGCACGCACGCACGCCTCGACATTCGCATTTCTCTTTCCATCTATGTTTCTTCAACATATCCTACCCTATCATACAATACATCTCTACTTTTAGGGTTTGACGGATGGAATTGATTTGGAATTGCTCTTCAGGATATGCAAGACATGAGGGACTGCTATGACACCTTGCTTTCCGCCGCCGCTGCAACCGCCAGTAGTGCCTATGGTAGGGTTGGGACGTTGGAATATCGTTCGTTCGTTCATTCTTTCTTTTCTTCATCCTTTCATGCTTTTCATATCGTCTATTATTCTCTTCTTACAGAATTCTCTGAGTCCTTGCGAGACATGGGCTCTTGTCTTCTCGAGAAGACCGCTTTAAATGACCACGCAGATGAAACTGGCACTATACTCTTCTTTTACTTCTTCTTCCACTTCCGCACGCACTTCATCACCTTTTTCCTAACCCCTTCCTTTGTTCTTTTCCATTCTATTATTGCAGGAAAACTTCTCCTCACGCTTGGCAAAATTCAGTTCAAACTCCACAAACTAATAGATGACTACGTCACTTCCTAATCTTCTCTCTATTTCCATTTTATCTTTACTTCTTATTTTCTCTGCTTTTCATTACTCTTTTCTTTCCCATTCCAGCGTTCTCATATAATTCAGACAATTACCGTTCCCTCGGAGTCTCTCTTGAATGAACTTCGAATTGTTGAGGTTTCTAATTCTAATCTTTTTTATATCTCTATCTATTGCACTTACACAAACCTAGTCATGCATCACTCTCGTTCAACTTTCAGATTCAACTTTTTCTTATTGCAGTAACCTAAGAATACCTTTATTTTTGTATTCTGCATGGATGACCTTTTTGTAATTTTCATCATTTTTTTTTTGTTTTAATACTCGACCAGGAGATGAAGCGGCAATGTGATGAGAAAAGGTTTGAAATGATGTTTTGGATCTGTTATTATCTTTGACTGTCACAGTGATATACTTCTTGTTATTGTGTCATATGATATGCAGAGACGTATATGACTATATGGTAGCAAGATACAGAGAAGGAGGCAGGTCTAAAGGCGGGAAAGGGGAAACTTTTTCTTTGCAGCAGTTGCAAACTGCTCATGATGAATATGATGAAGAGGCTACTTTATTTGTTTTCCGATTGAAATCTCTGAAGCAAGGACAATCGCGTAGTCTTCTAACACAGGCAACGCGTCACCATGCTTCTCAGGTTCTTCACATTCCCCTGTTTCCTTGTAAGAATTGGAGTTTTTTTTTTTTTTTTNAGACAACATTCTTAAATATCTCTTCTTGGTGTTTTAGGCAGCTGAGACACTGGCTAAAGAAGGAATCAGCGCTGAGGTAAGATTTGCCAGAGTTAGTAATGAACTTTCCCTTCTTTCTGTAAAACTTCATTTGGGTGATGATAATGGTTAATGACCTTTATCCACATAGGTTATTAATTTGCGTTCAATCCGACCACTGGATCGATCAACGATCAATACTTCTGTCAGGAAAACCAACAGGCTAGTGACAGTTGAAGAAGGGTTTCCTCAGCATGGTGTTGGGGCTGAAATCTGGTTTGTCTCTTTGCATTGACTTTCTCTGTATCTTTCTGGTCAACTCTTGCCAATCATGTGAGTGTATACTTCTCTTGAGCAGCACATCTGTCATTGAGGAGAGTTTTGGTTATCTTGACGCACCGGTTGAGAGAATTGCTGGGGCTGATGTTCCTATGCCATACGCAGCAAACCTGGAGAGACTGGCTGTTCCGCAGGTAATGATTGTGGAATATTATTTGTTTCTTCTGAATGTGTCAACTTGTTTTGGAAGATCTGTATTCTTTATTTTGATCCAGAAATGTATTTTTATTTTGAATGGGTGTAGTGATAGCCTGGACATGATGGTCTTGTGTGACACGAGTATTGATGCTAATTTGTTCAAGGTTTTGGTACAAGTGTATAGAGAATTTAAATCTGATTTGTTTTCTGGTTTATGTGGATGGACAGATTGAAGATATTGTTCGAGCTGCGAAGAGAGCATGCCACAGATCGGTGCCTTTGGCTGCAGCTGCTTGAAAGTTCTGGAAAACTTTCATGTCCTGATTAGTTCTTTGGTAATCCTTGATGTACCAAAAACAATTTTCCCCCAAATTTCCACCATAAAACAGCAGGAAGAAATTACAACCAAAGAATGCTGGTTTTAACTTGCGGGTTATGCTGGGCTTTGGTTAAAAAGTTCTGTTGTATATTCCTAATTTTCAGGACTCACAGATGCCATACATTTTTTCCCCATTCTCAGCCAGCATATATATGGGAGGAAGTGAAGTTTAATAACTTGGAAAACAATAACACCGGGCGGGAAGTCTTCTGTGTTTTGGTTTCTGATTGGCAATAACTAAGTAGTCAATTTTTTGAATACATTATCGAGTTTCTTTCCAGTGGACCAGTTCTATGCAAAAGATCTAGCTCTTATTTAATTCAATTCCATTTACTGCTTTAGTTACTTGGCAGGCTAGAGATATTTGATTTGACATGAGGTCCGTATCCTTGGGGAGAACAAGGTTATGGGTACTTGGTGTTGTGAATGGTGCTTGGTCTTAGTCACCGTGAACCCCCTAAAACTACTTATATAACTATCGATTTTCTCTGCCGTTCTTTCGGTTAGCAATACCCACGAAATCATATTGGCTGCTGTTAACGTCAGTCGAAGAAATTTCTCCATTTGCCATTTCCTCTTACTTTCTTTGCGAATGTTACCTTTTCCAGTTATCTTACCCATTGCGTAAACGATTTTAACTTATATCTATGGTAACTTTTCGCCGTGAATCATGTGTTGAGAAATCACTTGGACGTTGCTTTTTGATATAATTGTTTGTCAACTTCATTGAGTATCATGTCAATGTATTAACAATGGAAGATAATTTGGCAAATTTGATGTCGCAAACCTAATTATATGCTCTAAAATATGTCACTGACAATAGTAAATCATATTTGAGAGATCGTTTTGAAGGACAAAAGATGGGGTTAATTTTTTAAGTCGTACAAATATTATATAATTGGATAAATATTTAAAATGGAAGGAAAATATATTAACACTTTGTTTTTTTTTTTTTTGTTTGTTCGAAGTTGTTATTTTCTGAATTTGAAAATGTAATGTTTTCTTCCCTTTTATTTTCATCCATAACTTTTCAGTTTTATTCTGTTTGCCGTTTTGACATGATAAAATGTTCTGTTCTTATTTTTGCTTTACTAGAATATTAATGCTGTATCTGGGTATGAAATCGTTATTTCGAACACAAATTCTCCTTTTCTTAGCCCTTAACTGAAAAAAGTAGTTTCAAATATAAACGATCGGTTCCTTAAGACCTCAATTAACATTTGTTTTATTATATTTAATAATCTTAAATCATTTAAGAGTTTGTATGAGTGATAATTTAAATATATTTTTTCTTTTAACTTTTTTATGTATTTAAAGACATGACAACAAAAGAATTTTAAAATTGAAGGTGAAGAATACCTCAATTCACATATACTGATTGTATTGTGTGTACTTGGGTTCGGAACAAAAATTTAAGTGATCATATGTTCATAAAAAATCTTTCATAAATTCCAAAATATGTTTTCTTAGTTCTTTTTGCATGTTATTTGTTTCCAATGCTTTTTTATAACAAAATCTCACAGAAAGCACAAAATGTCCTGAACGTAAAACTGGGGAGTTATACATAAAATCTAAGCTTTAATTACTAGAAAATAGCCGAGAATTACATGCAAAATATGCTCTGAAATGTAAACCATTATGTTCGATGTATGAAGTTGACTTCACTTTCGCAAAGCAAGTTATGATATCAAATTCGATTACATTATTCTTGGAGTGGAGTTAAAATGTGATAAATAATTTAGTTTTGCAGACAAATTGTATTTTAGAAGCTTCGGTGTCACTTTTTATATCTTCTGTGTACGAAGTATTTTAATTTAAAAAAAGTGTCTTTGTTTTAGTTAGGGAGCATAATTTTTAAAAATAGTTTGGCAGTTATTTTAAAAGTCAAAGTCGAAAAGCTTACATTTTGGAGAACAACATTTTGTATTGATTATTGTCTGGAGAAAAAAAAAATCGAAAAAATTGTATGCATGGAAGGTGTGGCCTTGACTTTTAACAAATGAACGAAAGTATTTTGAGTGAATAGTTTTATAGTATAATTCAATGATTAGAAGGATGGAGTAATGAGAAGCAGATAATTGAGAGAGGGAGGAAGAAGTGATTATAGAAGTGTAGGGAGGAACAACACATAGATCTGTGCAATGGGAGATATATTATCAAGGATGGAGTAATGACAAAAAGAGAATTGAGAGAGGGAGAAAGAAGTGATTATAGAAAATGTAAACACATATATTTCTATAATGGTTAGATATTGTTTATTTTCATTAAACAACATATTTTATCTATATATAAACTCATGTTTTTTTTTATATGCTAGAAAGAAGAAGGTTAAGAATAATTGGTTTATAGTGTAATATAATAGTAATGGTAAATAGAAATACAATATTATTAAAAATAAATAATAGTAGTAATTATAATAATAATATTAATAATAGAAATAATGAAAGGTTGGGGGTGGTGGAATTTGCGTGGGAGGAGTTGGTGGCGTAAGCAGAGGAAGCGGTTGAAGAAAGAAATGGTCTGATTGGGATGGGGAAGGGGATTTGACCACCTCCTCGTTGTCGTTGTTGGCGGCGATTTCCGTTTGCTATTCTTCACTCTAATCCCTCATTCGTTACGAACAAACAAAGCAAAAGTTATTAGAACAAACGATTGCAAGACATCGATGAAGAGCTCTCTGAAGAAATTGCGAGGTCTGGCGCTTCACAATCACAACCACAACCGCACTCGCAAGGATGACTCCTCCAACTTCATTCAGCCTCTGGGCCAGCTTGACGAGCTTGCTCGGGCCACCCAGGCACGCACGCACGCCTCGACATTCGCATTTCTCTTTCCATCTATGTTTCTTCAACATATCCTACCCTATCATACAATACATCTCTACTTTTAGGGTTTGACGGATGGAATTGATTTGGAATTGCTCTTCAGGATATGCAAGACATGAGGGACTGCTATGACACCTTGCTTTCCGCCGCCGCTGCAACCGCCAGTAGTGCCTATGGTAGGGTTGGGACGTTGGAATATCGTTCGTTCGTTCATTCTTTCTTTTCTTCAACCTTTCATGCTTTTCATATCGTCTATTATTCTCTTCTTACAGAATTCTCTGAGTCCTTGCGAGACATGGGCTCTTGTCTTCTCGAGAAGACCGCTTTAAATGACCACGCAGATGAAACTGGCACTATACTCTTCTTTTACTTCTTCTTCCACTTCCGCACGCACTTCATCACCTTTTTCCTAACCCCTTCCTTTGTTATTTTCCATTCTATTATTGCAGGAAAACTTCTCCTCACGCTTGGCAAAATTCAGTTCAAACTCCACAAACTAATAGATGACTACGTCACTTCCTAATCTTCTCTCTATTTCCATTTTATCTTTACTTCTTATTTTCTCTGCTTTTCATTACTCTTTTCTTTCCCATTCCAGCGTTCTCATATAATTCAGACAATTACCGTTCCCTCGGAGTCTCTCTTGAATGAACTTCGAATTGTTGAGGTTTCTAATTCTAATCTTTTTTATATCTCTATCTATTGCACTTACACAAACCTAGTCATGCATCACTCTCGTTCAACTTTCAGATTCAACTTTTTCTTATTGCAGTAACCTAAGAATACCTTTATTTTTGTATTCTGCATGGATGACCTTTTTGTAATTTTCATCATTTTTTTTTTGTTTTAATACTCGACCAGGAGATGAAGCGGCAATGTGATGAGAAAAGGTTTGAAATGATGTTTTGGATCTGTTATTATCTTTGACTGTCACAGTGATATACTTCTTGTTATTGTGTCATATGATATGCAGAGACGTATATGACTATATGGTAGCAAGATACAGAGAAGGAGGCAGGTCTAAAGGCGGGAAAGGGGAAACTTTTTCTTTGCAGCAGTTGCAAACTGCTCATGATGAATATGATGAAGAGGCTACTTTATTTGTTTTCCGATTGAAATCTCTGAAGCAAGGACAATCGCGTAGTCTTCTAACACAGGCAACGCGTCACCATGCTTCTCAGGTTCTTCACATTCCCCTGTTTCCTTGTAAGAATTGGAGTTTTTTTTTTTTTTTTTAATGTTATTACCATTGCTTTCTTTTTGTGCCCAAACAGTTGTGTTTTTTCAAGAAAGCAGTCAAGTCCCTTGAGACAGTAGAACCACATGTAAAATCTGTAACTGAACAGCAGCACATTGATTACCAGTTCAGTGCTCTTGAAGAGGAGGATGGGTATGAAGGTGACGATGGAGATGATGGTGGTGGTGGTTATGATGACAATGATGATGGTGAGCTGAGTTTTGACTATGGACAAACTGAACAAGACCGAGATGTTTCTACGTCACGAAACTCCATGGAGGTGACTACCTTAAGTAACTAGGATCTTCAATTTTTTTCTTCCCCTATGTGTTTTGAGTTTATTTAGAAATGGTTGTCTAGTGAAGGCTGGAAAATTACATCTACTAACACGCAAAAGGGAACAGGTGAATGATTATGCACTCATGTGGTGGTCGTTGAAGGGTTTGAATCCTACTGCATGCTGTATATGTGTGAAATCAAAATTAATGAGTGAATGACTAAATTCGTGGACAGAGATTATGTTGTGGGCAAAGTTGTTTTTACGGTCTTAAGCTCAAAAGTTTTGCATATTTGTTTATTTAATTGTGACTAACTGCTCTATGCACACGAGTAATACAGTTTAATTAGAATGCCGCTAGATGGACAATTGAGCAAGAACCTCTTCAAGTAAACTACGGGGTTTTAACTTCTTTGATCAATGCATGAAAATGCTATGGAAGTTTTCAGTAATGAACTTCTGATTTTGAAGATTATGGTTCTGAACAATATATATAGTTTTAGTTTTCAAAGTTTATAAAACACTACAATTAGCTTATATTACTCATCTTGATGACATGGTGCTTATCCGTGTTCACCTCTTTTCAGCTGGATCAAGTGGAAGTTACAGCTCCTGGAGGTTTTACATCCGAAACTGCCAAGGTAAAAAAGACATCTATTATCTTCAATTTTATTTTTGAGCCTCTAAATTTGAAGTACGTAAGGGCATGCACAATGAATCTTTTGCTCTGTTTGCAGGAAAACTTAGACAAACTTCAAAGGAATTTGTTTTCCTTTAGGGTTAGGACAGGGAGCCAATCTGCCCCGCTTTTTGCTGATAATAAACCTGATGCAATTGAAAAACTGAGACAGATGCGCCCATCTTTATCTCGGAAGTTTAGTTCATATGTGCTACCCACACCCGTTGATGCTAAGAGTTCAATCTCTTCAAGTTCAAATAATCCAAAACCTTCCAAAGTGCAGGCAAATTTAAGTGAACCTACAAAGAACTTGTGGCATTCATCCCCATCAGAACAAAAGAAACATGAAAAAGATAGCGGTGATGAATTTTCTGGTTCCATTGTCAGAAGTGCTCCGTCAGTACACAAGGAAAGTAACAGTAATACTGCCTCCACGAGATTGCCTCTTCCTCTAGCAGATAATCTTTTATCCTCGAATTGTGATTACATTTCTGCTCACCCTAAAAAGATTAAAAGATATGCCTTTTCTGGCCCATTGACAAGTAATCCTGGGCCTACCAGACCAGTTTTGTTAGAAAGTGTTCAACTGTTCTCTGGACCTCTTTTGCCAAGTTCAATCCCTCAGCCTCGGTCATCATCTCCAAAAGTATCTCCCACTGCTTCTCCCACTCTAGTGTCTTCACCCAAAATAAGTGAGCTTCATGAACTTCCTAGGCCTCCAACCAATTTCCCATCCAATTCAAGGCTTTTAGGTTTGGTGGGTCATTCTGGTCCTTTGTTGTCTGGAGGTCAAAAGGTTTCCTCTGCAAATAATTTGGCTGCATCAAGTGCTGCATCTCCATTGCCAATGCCACCTCAGGCCATGGCTCGTAGTTTCTCCATACCTTCTAGTGGGGCTAGAGTTGCAGCATTACATGTTCCTAGAACACTAGATTCTTCTCATGGATCATCTATGTCTGAGACTATTGCTTCTCCTCTGATACCACTAGCATTATCTAGTAGTCAGCCATCATCAGATTGCTGAGGCTGCTGTCTAGATATTTAGACCGGAGGTATTTTTTTAAACCAGGGCCTTTTGTTTACTTTTTTTCTTCTTATTTTCTATTATTTTTGTTTTCCTGGATTTATTTGAACTTTTTTTTTTAACTGTGAAATTTAGACAACGTAGAAAGTGTTGAAATTTTATTTATAGATGGCAAAACCTCTGTCTCCATTTGCCTGGTTTGGAATGGGATAAAATGGATATGGTTAGTACGTACTTGTAACAGCCTGTGTATAGGACACCTATTATTGAGCGAGTTCTGTTTTCAAAGTTCTTGCAATATATAAATGATTTCAATTCCCCATTGTGGAATACAATTGTCGAATGAAAAATATCCAATACTTTTTATTGTATCTTTAGTGTAATTTGGAGTATGTGAGTTTATCACTTTAGACTTAATTAATTAGGATTATGATAAAATATTAGGATAAATAAGGGTTAGTGCTTTATGTATTGCAATTGCAACATGATATTTCATATCATATGAAGTCAATTCTAATGTCATAATGTTCGGTTTTTATTCTCTCCTTTTCCTCCGGCAATACCTTAATCTCTCTTAGCCACTCCCATTCTTCTAATAAAGTGTCGAATTTAATCACAAGGCATGGGGAACTATGTACTATCCATGCTTCAAACCCAAAGGGCATTTGGGTGAAGGGATGCGTTCTAAATTTTGTTTTTATCTAACCGTTTAAACTTTTGGAATAGTTTGGCATATGACAAAATAAACTATGTAATCTTCATACAAAATACTCTCTACTGGAAATGCACGTTGGGATAGAGAATATTTTTGGTGCAAGCATCATCTATTTTAAATGGACTTAACATTTTATTATGTACAAATACCTTACAATGAGGTCACACATGCAGAAACTCACTTCATAGCTATTTTTTTCATCTTCTCCTTAAAATAGCATGTGCAATAGGTGGAAGTGTTTATAATTGATAGGATGAATAATTTAGGACATGATAGGCCAGTTTTTATAATGCATTGGAGAAATTTCAATTCCAAACTAATTGATATTACCATTGTAAGATTTATAAATTGCTTTATTATTGTTCCTTGTTCTACTACCAATACTGTTAGAAAGTTTAGTTTAACTTACATATGATTTAATGTTCATTTTCTGTTTTTCAGGGATGTGTGCAAGTTTTGTCTAATGTTATGCGATGAATCCAGGTATAGTCTATGGATACTTGTGCAGACTAATTCTACTTACATCTGAAGTTAGCCTTTACGGCCTGGCAAATTAAGCTTAGGGCCAAGAAAACTTAGGTTAAGTTTTGCTTAGTTGCAAAGATGTATATATTCGTTTGTCTGTCATATTCATTGTTATTTCAACCTTATGGGCTTTTTGTTTTCTTATTTCGAAATAAATGCCCATCGGCTTTATTGTTGAGATATGCATTCATGCAATGACGGTAACCAATCAATCATGCCTCGCCTTTACGAGCAATCCAACTGTCTAATTAAGCTGTGTACCTTTCAGTAAGTGCAATTTGCTTTCATATGTTTTCTTAACTAAACATTTCTATGAACATATGAAATCAATTCTCGGAGAATTCGATTCATTTCTGGATTGGCATTCATAAATCATGCTTTTGATTTGTCTGCAATCTGGTGGAGCTGGACGAGAAGAGAGAATATAATTCATGTAATGTAACAGTGTCGCATTTGTTGTTGAGTCATTATTTGGTTAATAAAACGTTCACGTTGCAATAATAAAAAAGGGAGAAATGAAGTGGAACATCGTGCAATTATGCTCTAGCAGGTGTGGAACCACTCAAGAAGTTGCTAATCACTAGCTAGGTACCGTTGCATTTTCTATGAACTGGTAGAATTGGTTTAAGTCAGACAAATGGGTACTCTTGTTGTGGACTCATTGGGGTAATTTTGTTTAGAACATGTATGCCAAATCCAAATACCCAAATTTAACTTGCTTCTGTCATTATCATTATAATTAATCTATATCTATCTATATATTACAAATGGGCATCACAAACCATCCGTACTAGCTGTACAGATTTGGAAACCATGAAAAGAATTACCGATGTCCTAATTCGAATGCAATGCATAATAATATTGGTAATTTGGAACAGTGCAAGGAAAATAGACATTTCTGATGTGCGCTGTTTGGACGATAGAGATTGGCTTCCTCGTTATTTGGTAGATATAGTCTTTCATTTGCAGCTTTCTCCAGTATCATATCTGACGAATCCCATTAATTCTGGTCCTTTAAGTCTTGTGTTATTCTTGAAACTGCAGGAATATAAACTATTATTAGCTCATGCTCTCACACATGTAAATCAACTACTTGAGCATGGATCTAGAGGTAAGAGAAGCATGAAATCATAACAGGGGAATGTCATCAATGTTATATAGAAGCATGAAAGTAATAGCTAAATTCTACAAATGATCAGCATCGAAAAGTAAAACGTAAATTATAATCGCCATGTTCCTATTTTAATGGTATTTATATAATTTCTTGTCACCAATGATTTGAGTTCAAGTCATATGTTATTATTACTGTTATCACCCTGCAGATATAGCGGCTTCAAATTATTTACAGAATCTGTGACAAAATTTGTGCAAGTAATAATATCAATTTTCCAAGTAGTAACGAAGTCGACCTTGTGAAGTACTCAGATTAATAAGTTTTAGATGGACTCACCTTTGTTCAGAGAACTTTGAAAAAGAGCCGGATGTAGGGAAAGTACCACACAGATCGTTGTTTGATAGGTCTCTGCATAACATAAGAAAAACGAATTTAAACGTGAGAAATTAGAATTGACGGAGCAGAATGAAAAGATGTATGATATTGAAAAGTATAGGACAGAGAGACTCACAAGATCTTGAGGTTTCCCAACTTAGTGAGTTCCCTCGGTATTCTTCCAGTGAGCATGTTGCTGTTGAGCCGCCTGTAATATTGTATCATAAAAGGGTTATGCTTGGTGAACGGTCCACTTGCTATTTATTTTAATTAACTTACAAGAATTTGATGTTGGAGAGGTTGGACAGGCTGGCGGGAATGGAGCCAGTGAGGTTATTCTGGTAGAGACCCAAGCTAACCAGGTTCTTGAGGTCTCCAAGTTCCCTTGGTATTGGACCCTTCAAATCATTCTTGTATAGTTCTCTGCACATTGGCAAACCAAATCTTACGTTCTGTCTTAGCATAACACATTCAAAAGGAACTTTGGAGAAATAAACCCTCATATTTGATCTTTAGTGATGTCTGTCAGACATTTTCAGAAAATAGATAAATACAAACTTCGCTATGGCGCTTACAGAAACTGAAGGCGCTGGAGCCTCCCTAGTTCTGGAACCAAATGACCAGACAGTTTTGCATGTCCGAGGTCCCTGCATGAGTACGCAATTATCAGACTTAACCCAACCCAGAGAAATAATCAACACTTATCAAACAAACATGTTACAAAGAATACATAATAAAATAAAAAATACAAATAATACATTCCAAATAAAAACGTGAGAAACTGAAAAGACAAGATGGAGTTAATTACAGTCGGGTTACTCTCTTATCATCATCACAGGTAACATGGAACCATGTACAAGGATCCACCAAAGTTGGATCCCAGCTCTGCAGAACGTTATTTGGGTCTTTCACAGCTCTCCTGAATGCGAACAGAGCATCACCTGTTCGTTTTCAAGTTCAAAAAAGCAGAATATACTATTGTGACAAGATTCTTCAAAATTTGTGGCTGGATACATATGGAACGCATACATACAAAAGGGTGGGTTTACCTTCAGAGTTTGCATTTATAACAGCAAAAGGGTCTGATAGGAGAAGAAAAATTGCAAGAACGTAAAAAGGTACCCTCATGCTCCTCTCCATGAAGTAGCAGCCCTGAAAGTTGGTAGAGATTTTAGAGCCTCACCCCTCACACCGGCTGAGACCAATTGATGGTTCTATTTGTAGTCGAAGTGCGCCTAATAGTAATAATACTAATAACAAAAACATGTAATAGAGACCAAATCTTCCTCTTTCTTTAATGCAATTATGCTTTTGGAATGGAATCACAGATATATGGAGAATTTTATAGTGCCCGTAAATGGATATGAGATGCTACCTCTTTAGTTTGTCTATTCACACTCAACTAGCATTGTAGTCTTACGTGTAAATATCATTACTCTTTTTCAAATGATAATTAAAATTGTTATTCTCGATATTTAGTTAGGTCAAAGACTATAAACACTATTTGAATTTTTAGTAAGGAAAATATTTACGTGCATTAAAAGTGAGATATGTTCATTATTATTATTTTTGTAATTTAAAGGAACATTTCTGGAATGCATGTATACGAGAAAAGGATTAAAACAATTACGTTAAAGGTAAAGATAAACTGTACGATATCAATTAGATTATTCAGTATTCAAGCAATATGGTTTAAGGCTATCGCAGTAGCAATACAAAGAATGTTTCAGGCGATTACACAGACTAAACTAAATTGTTGTTCTTCCTCTTGTATTTGAAAACAAAATAAAAAAATGTACTTTAGATTCGATGATGGATGGTGTGATTTCAAAGAAGGAGAATACTTGTTCATTCTGTTTTCTTTTATTAGAAAAAATTATCTCTGACACAAAGCAGCAAGGAATATTAATAATGGTATTGAAAACTGTAAGTAATAAAATGACAAAGATGATAAAGTTAAATTGGTTTTTGATTAGTCAACCATGATGGCAAATTAGTTAACTGGAAGCATCATAGTAAGCTTTGTGATTGGACACGTAAAAGTAAGGCACTAGCTAGGAATGAAGAAAGTGAATAGAAAGATTATAGATGCAAATGAAATACTCGTCTTTTAATGCATTTTATGTTAATGGGTCCAAATCCAACACTATAGTTTTGACTTGGGACGGCTCAATGGGTTGAATTGGTTGACAGCATGGTTTGTTCTGTTTCAAGTTACTGTACTTTGTATCTTCTTTTTTGATAGTGGAGGGACACAAAAGCATGAAAGGGTTCCTTTGTGTGATCTTAGACAGATAATGCAATGATCTCCTCATTAAAAGAAGTGACTTGGAGATTTCAGACTTAGACCACATCATGTTAACTCCTTTTCATTCTCACACTCACCAACCATAAGCTTGGGAAAAAGTTATTATAGTATTACTGTACGAAACAAAAAGCCCTCTCTACTTAGTCTCTCTTTCTTCGGCCAAACGATAAAAGCTTTCCATACGCATAATTATTGTTGAGTGTATAATCAACACCTCACGTGTAAAAGAAATTATAATGGTCTTTGACCATTGACCACCACATTTAGAAAGATAAAGTTGTAATATTATGACCCACCAAGGAGAAAGGGAGGGAACAAAATTTTGAACTAAAAACTAATTAAAATCCTTATTATGTAAGTTAATTATAAGATGACACACTACAAGAGTAAAGTAGTCATAAATGAGTGATTTTTTTTAATTTTAAAAAATAAAAATAAAAAATAGAATGAATAATATCAAATGAATGTAAAATATGTGTGTCAAAGTATCATTTTTCTATTATGTAGTGTAAACATTTGGTTAGGAGGATGTTAATATTGTTTTTTAAGATGTAAAAGTGTTAGAAAAATAATACTTTGACACACGTAACTTTTTTATATTTATTTGATATTATCATCTAAAATAAAATACAAAAAATTATTCCTTTAAAACTATTTTACCTTTATACCACTATGTATCAAATTAAAGTAAAACGTGTCATTTACCATTACTCAAAGTATTAATATTATTGGACATGAATAAATGTTTGTCATGTTCACATCAATGGACCCCAATTCCCATTGCTCTCTTCAAATCAAATTCAATCCAACATCTTTCCGAAACTGACTTTTTGTTCGTTATCAATGGCTATTCAATTTAGGGATTTTTAATATCATCGTCATGTGCTCTCATAGACATTGGATTTCAATTATTGACAAATAAAAGAGATTAACTCTTTCCACGGGCCTTAACACAAGATTTCTGGACTTTCCTTTATAATTCAATTTTATATCAGGAGCTCTATAAGTGGGCCTTTGAGCCCAAAAAAATGTTGGTACAAAT